ATTTAATGTATGTACGTATGTACATGTATATGTCTCCATCTAAATTCCACTGTGCATGTAAGGCTGAAAACCTGACAGTTCATCAAAAAGACATGCCGATGGACAAATGTTATTGGCATGGAGAGCAAAAACAAATTTCCCTGGTCCCGACCGTCTCAAAATTTTGACTAGAAGTTGCTAGGGAAAAATCTTTGATATTATTTTCACGACAAGATACTTTTAGAATGCAAAACAACTTTCAAATCAGAATTTCAGATACATGTATCATTGTTTCGTTTCAGTAAGCGTACCGACATGTATTATTCATGGTGTGTATACATACGTTGTACATGCACACATACATTGAACATTTGGTCTTAAGTGCGGACATACATGGACGCCTTTCGATAAGACTTTTGTTTCTTGTTGGCTACTTTACAATTCTGTTTATCCCAAATCTTTGATAACCTTCAGATTGTTCACACTGTACATGTACATGTATGATCTTATGTTGGTAAAAAAAAAATTTGCATCACGGAAATTTCTAGACCATTATCGTTATAATCACGGAGCTATAAACTTGGACAGCGGCCCAGATTCTGGACACAACAGACTTGCCGAGTCACGGGGAGATTGTCTCGATTGTTTGAGTAATTTTAGGCCCATGTTTTGTTGATTGGTAAATGTGAAATGTTGCTTATGTTGTTGCTGTCGTATGATTTGTTTTTTCAAAGACATCTGCGGCCATCATAGTATTGCTGTAGTTTTGAAACCCAGTTTCCTGAGTTGCCGGATTTGCCGGTACTGAAAAGTTGCAACATTTTTTTTTAATACGAGCTTCCAACTCCATTACCATCCTGCTCCATGATCTTATGCAACTTTTACTTTGCTAATTTCATGAATGTGAACTGATGTCAAATTATTTGAATGAAATGGAGTACAGTTACAGTAAATTTGCTTTTCAAAATTTGGCAAGATTTGTCCGGACAGGTCTGTCGGATTATAATGCTGCTGGGGCCAGTGCAATTCAAGAGTTGACCTTTGATTTTGTGCATACATGCAAATACCTACCTCAGCTCACCATCCCAGAATCCCAGTTGTTTGACTTGCTTGAATATAAAAAGCTAATCGTCTTTCTCCTTTTATTATTTCTTTTTAAGTGTTAACGAATAGCTTTTCTGACATACATGTACATGTATTATATTTTAATAAATGACAATAAAACTTATAAAGTTTTTACAATTAAAACAATATTCTAAGTACTTAGCAGAAATGATAAATAGATAGTGCATGAAAGTTTTAAGTACTGGTGCGAGTTCAAAAGTATAGATTTCATATTGGATCAAAACAAAATTTCAAAAACATAAGTTTTTCCTAACATCCCAATTTTTCAGCATTGTTACCGAAAACATACTATTTTTTTTTTTTGACCTACTGTGCAGTTTTAGGTTTATGAGATTTGAGTCGTTTTGGCAATGTCACAATTAGGGGTCTGCTTTTACCAATATTTTTGGGTACATGTTAAGGAACATCAAATACTCATTTTTCCTGAACTTTAAACCTACAAACTTTAAAGAATTAATTATGATCTTTCTTTAAAAAATAGAATAGAAGATAAAAGCAGAAATGTATTGTCCTGATTCAGGGGCCACCTTCTGGCCGGTTTAATTAAACACTCTCCACCAATAGGAAAGGGTTAAATGGATCAGGTGTTTATGAATTGTAATTCAAACAAAAGTCCAACTCATTTAAACAAAACTATATTTCAGGGTATGTATGAGTTTATGCATTTGTTTATAAATCCAAAACCAGAGTGTTTGTATCTCAACACGGAAATTACATTTATGTGCTGCACGCATTGGATCTAGGGCCATCCATTTTCAAATAAATTAGTATTTGAATACGCGAAACTACGTTTGACAGAATATATTGTCAGCTGCGACTATGTGCCGCGCCGGTCAAAAGTTGCACGCAGAGCGCGCACGTTATATTTTGGGTGCAGCGATCGATATGGGCCGCTTCAGTGTTTTGCAGTATTTTGTACACTGTAACTGTCAAGGGCTTTTCACCTGCCATGGGAACAATGAATCGCCGTCCACAAAAAAGTAACCGTCATCAAAAAAGTGGCACCTGATAATAAAGTGCTGTAACTTTATGATAAAATTGCATTACAGTCGTGTGTTGTTTTTTTAACCAGCAAAATGCTATTCGAATGTTCGGTGAATGATCAAATACAATGTACAATGTACAGTAGTGGAATTATCTTGGACAGCACTGATTTGATCTACATTGAAGTACCACAGCATACAAAGTAATCAAAAGTACAATGTACCTGTGGAATGTTAAACTCCTGATAAGCTATCATGTAAAACACATACTGTATGCATGATTCTGCATCATTCAAAGAAAAGCATTCAAAAGTCTTGTAATCCAAAGTTCCTTTACTGCTCAGGATCTGTGCAACTAAGCATGGACCATTTCAGTATTTGGACACCGCCTACAAAACTTTTAACTTTACTCAGCACGATCACACCATACAAGTACAAATCTGTACACAAAATATATTGGGTTCAATACTGCATCTTGTATCTGAGTGAATTCTTTGTGTTTCCAAACTACCAGTACCTTCTCATTCTAAAGGGACAAGATCTGAAGCTGATAATATCTCATATTGCTGCATTGTCATCCTTGCCACTGCTGGTTAAAATATATCTGTTGTCCATATCATGCCAAGCTGAAAGTTGAATTTTGGAGGTAAATTTGTAAGAATCATACGTGAGCCAAGTATAACTGTTGGCTTTGTAAGGTTGCGCTACAACTGGAACACGTTTTATGTGTGTATTTGGTTTAGCTCTGTACACTATCATCAGGTGAAATTTCAGGAAGTCTGAAAGATTGATGTTTCAAAAACTAGAGCGTGATCATTTTGAGGAAAATTACACCAATTCACTTAAGTTTTGTTCCTTCGTGTGCATTGTAATCATGGACATTGACTTTGGCTTTCAATAATTACTGCTTTGGAATTCATTGTGATTAACTGACTATCCTGCTGTAATACCATGAGCCTTACTCTAGATATGCGGCACAATCTCTCAAAATTGTGAAGAATTTGTGTCCAGAATTATGCAGTTCTTTCTGCACAATTTCTATATTTCTCCTGTTAGTGTTTACATTCAGTTTGTCTTAATGCCCTTGACTTTCTTAAATTCAATATCTGAGCAGACCATCTTAATCACATTTTGGTGTACATGTACCACTATCTCACAGCCTCCACAACATTTTGAAGCAACATAAATACAGGTACATTGATGACAAGGCAATAGCACAGATGAACACCACCATGTACATGTACATGTACATGTTCTTGTAGAGTGTCTAAAGAAATCTTCCCCCTCAATCAGGCGACATAACAGGAAAGCCTGCATTAACAGCAAGTAAGGTGTGTCAAGCTAGGATGACAAATTGACAGAAGACAACAGGCCCTGAGAAATATCACACAACACAAACATACTTACCCCAGATTACTAAATTAGCGCATAAATGACACCCCCATGCTTGTATTCTCTTTGGAAAATATTTACAGTAGTTTGATACAGGATGATTTGAACTATCGGAATTGTACTTAAGACACTTCTTTTGGTGTTTAATTTATTTAAAGCCAAATGAATACATTTGTATTTCCGTTTAACTGAAGAAAAAAAAAGAAATACCGAAATAATGAGAAAAGAACAATTCCACACTAATGGGCCAATTAGATAAGTGTATGGATGTTGCATATAAAGGGTAAAAGATGAGCTAGTATTTTGTTCAGTTTTTTTCCTATACCTTGCTAAGTTGAAAGTAACTAGGACAAGACAAGACAAGACAAAAAATGATATCTTTTTTATTTGAGAAAATAACTGGCATCTTTTCTGTGTGATACGTACATGTACATGTTTGTAACGTGTAGTGTGTCTGCACTGCAAGGAAAAGGGTGCTTAGGACAAATTCAGTTTATTTAGGCACTTCCAGTGATGTTATTAAGCCATTTTAGATTATTATCAAGCAAAAATATTTATATAACAGTTTTCACACTGGCTTCAAATTCATGATGTGATCAAGCATGACACTGGCACAAAGCATTGATTATAAAATGCAATTGTTCACTGGTATTTCCACAAACACATCTTATTACCATTATGCCCATGTACATACTATGTACATGTATGTACATGTACATGTATATGTACAGTCAAATGTAGGTGTGAGAAATCTGGAAGCAAAAGTCACACACACAGACACTTACAAGGTCAGCTAATGCTAATCAATAAATGACAAAACTTCCTTTCATTTTTCATGGTCACTGCCTGGCCCTGAACAACTTCTACATGTACTTGGTATGTGTATGTAATTGACAATGCAGACAATGGGTCAAAAGCTCCATTTCCTTGCATTGCGTATTCTACACAGCTAGCTGCATAAAACTTTGTTGTACAAGCTTTCTGCTCAACCACACAAAGTCATGCACGCAAACATGCTAAACAACATAGAGACATGGTTTTACATTCATCTGTAAAACTAAAAATGCACTTTAGGCAAAAAAAAAAAAGTCTCCGGTTTCTGGTATGCGCGCGCGTCGCCGTAGCCATGCGCGTCGGCAAAATGAAAACGTTTTTTTTTAATGAAAGATGATGTCCCAAAACCGCCAAACTCACTGGTTTGACTGGAATACTGCTGCTGCACAATTTTATCGTGTTTTTAGATTGGGTTATGGTCGAGAATAAGTTTGATGTGGCCTCTCTGGACTCCCATATATTTGCACTAAGTTTAGTCGGACACCATTTGCAGTCATCAGCACACATTTGAAGCAAAAAAGTCAGGTAAAAAAAAAAAAAAAGCCGCGTCGCCGCATCACTTTTTGGGCAAGCTCCATACCAGAAACCGGAGACTTTTTTTTTTTGGCCTTAAGAACCATTATTACATTACACATTCTCTAATGTAGTTCAATAGCATGACACAACTGTAGCAATCAAATGACTTACCATTGCGACTGATATCAAGTTCAGTCAGATTCATAAAGTTCCCTACTTCTGCAGGTAGTCTCTCAAGTTCATTGTCACTCAGTCCCAGCTTACGCAGGTTTTGTAGCCGGAAAAATTGCTGAAAGATTTGGAAACAAAATATAAGGATTACTATGTCACAACCTTTACTAAATTTAAAGCAACACAAAATTATCAAACATTGTCAAATGACACTGCATGAATACCTAGACTTGAAAAACATGAGAAGTTTAAGTTTGTGTCAAAATCCTGAGAACTTAAATTATAATCCATGATCTTGAGAACACTTCACAGTCCAGTCAAACATGTACAAACAAGCCTCTGAATTTTCCCATTTATTGAGCAAATTTTCCCAAAGAACTTGGTTCACTTGATAGCATGAGTACCACCCTTGCCACAAAATCATATCCCTGACACAACCTAATGATTGTATGTGTTGACACTTATTCATAGTACATGTATGACTGGGCAGGCCTAGCACTAGACCCGTCAATAACAACGTCATGCGTAACTGTGCAATAAAAACCTTCTACGTGGTCCAACTTTCTACATGTATGTCATTTGTCCTATGATATTAAATACTCAGACGTCAAGAATACAGTGAATATTCCAATTGGCGTAACAATCGGCATTCCAAATAAATTCGACTTTTTGGAGAGAGAATTTACAACTTTTGATCTTATCACACGGGTCTCTGGTACCCCGACATAGTAGGAGCCCGCCGATAAATTATAGGAGCCCGCCGAGTTCCTGTTAGCTCTGCAGAACGCTACAGAACGCATGTGAGCATGCGATTAGACAGTTCTTGTTTCGCCTGATCGATCGGCAGCTGTTTCATGTCGCAGCCAAATAGTCGTTTTAGACACGTTTCCAGTCCTCTCACCGCGCCGTGCTAGTATGAGATTAATTAATTATGTGAGACTCATTTTCCTCTTTGAGTCTCGTAGCATGGCACGGTGAGAGGACTGGAAAGTTGTCTAAGAGATTGTCTATTTGGCTGCGACTTGAAACAGTCGTCGATCGTTCAGCGTTCTGCAGAGACAACAGGTACTTGACTAGACCCGTGAACGTGGCTTTATACATAGCCACGCAAGATTGTACGAGTACCCTGACCCGGACGGCTCCTACCATTTTGCGTGTGCATGACTCGTAGTACCAGCGTACCGTGCGTACCTCAGAAAATCAAAAGTTCGGCTCATACGTTTGTCTAGACCCGTGAACGTGGCTTGTAAACTACGCCACGTTCTTATGTCATTTCGAACCTGGCGAACGTGTCCCTCTGACTCCCTCCGTTACACACACTGGACGTTATTTTGCCTATGTAATAAGTACTCACATATGAAGCTGTCTTGAATTCTATTTGTACGTCAAAACTTGCATTTGACGAAAATTGAGGAAAATTCTGGCCCCGGTTCATGAAGTCCGTCCGCTACTGCTAGCTGCCATTTTCTCCCAACTGACGCACGCGCATTGCGTTTTATTTTCGTATGATTGACGGCTGTTTACTGTCGCAGCTAAAACAGACATCGTTTTAGACAAGTTTCAAGTCCTTTCCTCTCTCACCGCACCGCACGCGGTCGCACGTGCGCCCGCGTGTGTGTGCACACACGTACTGTACACGAGATGAGCCGAGCAGCCAATCGTCTGCGGGGTTTTTTTTTCGGGGTTGCGACATGAAACAGCCGTCAATCTGTCCAAGCGACTCAGACGCGTCCGGGGTTATTTGTCAGGGTGGGTCCGGTCAGGTTAAAATCTAATTTCTACACGTTCGTATGGGTCTGTACTGATGGGCAAATTTCGTCGAAATTACACAGCCGAAACAATCGGACGGGCAAATTTAGATTTCTAGGTGAGTACTCAACACCCATACGGAATTATGTCTGTCGGATCGATTTCGCCAGGTTCGAAATGAAACAAGAACGTGGCGTTGTATACAACGCCACGTTCACGGGTCTAACGTTTGTCATGTCGAGGTCGTTATTTCCCCTCAAATTTCTTGACAATGCAAGACCCTACACTCGCGTGATTTTACAGCAAGCTTTGTATGCAAGTAATAATACTTGTGAAATGTCGTGCCGCGTGACAATTTCGAGTGTAAACACGAGGACCGAGCATGGTGTTGTTTACAACGCCACTTTCACAGGTCTAATAGTAGTGCTTGTAGTACTCGACAGGCTCCTATCATTTTGCACGTACAGGAGTCGGGGAACCAGAAACCCATATGATATGATCAAAAGTTGTAAATTCTCTCTCCAAAAAGTCAAATTTATATGGAATGCCGATTGTTACGCAGATTGGAATATTCACTGTATTCTTGACATCTAAGTACTTAATATCATAGGACAAATGACGTACACGTTATGTAGAACATTAACACATTGAAACTTGAATGTTTTTATTTAAAGGGAATATACAACATTTGCAAACATCGAAAAATAAAACTACCAAGTTTTTACGAAATACCTTACTAGGATGTTGGTAAATGACAGTCTCAAGCATCTTGTAAAATTATGGCACTTGGTGTGAAGTCATTTTCAAGAAAATTGTATTTTTGTAAACATTTCCAACGGTGGTCGGCCGACCAGCGTTGGAAAAACCTAACTATTTTTCAACTACTGCTCCAAATTTACCATTTTTTCAGTCCAAATTTTGTTTGCTATTGGTTACATGTTCATGATGAACGGGTGCAGGCCAGCTAGACTGGTTCCCTTGCCTTACAATTTTCCATCATCTATAAATTGATCCATTTTATCTTTTGTGGAGTCAGGGAACCAGACTACTTGAACATTTTTGTTTTTCTTGGTTTTTCCAACCTTTTCGAACACCAAACTTAAAAAATGTCAGTGTAATAATATTTGATCTATTATACTAACCTCTCAAATAGTTCATTTCTGAAAATTACAGCAAAAGCCAATGATGTACATTCCCTTTAATAACAGTACTGGTAACACAGTTACACATAAAGCCAATGACACCACGTTCAAGGGTCTAGTTAAGTGCCCACAAATGGAAAAGTAGGCCTAGGTAGCACTGCAGTAGCACTAGTTAAAAATGGAGGAAAGTTCTTATTCATCCATCCATCATGTCCATGGTTTAAATGACAGACTAACTTATTTTGGCAGGTTTAAACACTTTTTTTTTTAAATTAGCCAGTGATCTATTAATATAACCAAGCTATTTAAATGGGTATGGATAGACATAATCTGTAAGACTCTATATCAAATAATTCAAAAGATTCTCACCCTAGGTAGGTCCCTAATCTGGTTTGCATCCAGTAACAACTCTTCAAGAGTGCGAGAATAGCGGTAAATATCGTCCGGTACCGCCGATAAATTCCCGTGACGGCGGTCTACATAATCCACATGCCTGTTACAGGCTCGAAACAACGGAATACAGCGGAACATGGCGGTATAATTCCGCGTCTACAAATGAAGGAGTATAGATCCGAAGTTTAGGAAAGCATGGGCTCGTACAAAGGCTGAATTTGAAGAAAATTAACAGAAACCACGGCGATGAGTTCTCAGACTGGAATGTGTTAGACGATACCCTACATTCTCAAACAAGATGTCCGCCCGTATGACGTCATCAGACCAGTGAAGGATCAGGACAAGCGCCCGACCCATAAACAAAAAATTATGTGTGCTGATTCGTAAGATACTCGTAGTGCTTCGGTTACCAATCTGCTGACAAAATTATGACCCCAAGAGGGCGGTAGAAGGAATTGCCAATCTTCTTGTTCTTTTGGATCGTACCGCCGACTCTGTGACCACCAAGGTGAACATCATGGGTAATTTACTTCAAGCCATTAGATGATGTCCTCATCGCCTTTTGGTGGTCTGAAGTCGGGGCAGTCATGAATGATGTGGTTGATGGTTTCACAGTGGTCTGCTCCGTTTGAGCTGGTGGTTCCAATTCTGTGAGGCTTGAGCCTGCAGCTGCCAACATCACCAATGGCATCCCTACATTTGCTCATGGAGGAAGGAATTTGCTCGTGCAAAAGGGACCCATTTTTGGACCCTAATTTTATCAAATCTGCTATTAGATAATTGCACAAAAGCTAGGGAGATGATCCTCTGCTATATTCGCACGATTCCACCGTGATTTTTAAACCAGATGGTTTCGTTTTTTACAAAAAATTGCAGGGTCACTTTCTATGCAAATGACTCGCGAATAATTTTTTGAAACCCTAATCACTCGCGAATTTATTGCGCCCACTGTCGGTCTTATTGTGCTATTCGGATATATCGTCTGAATAGCCCCCCCCCCCCCCCCCCACCACCACCACCACCACACCGAAAAATAATAGTGATAAAATACTGTTGAAAAATGTGCTCGTTCATTCAGAAATTCATGAAGCATAATATCCAAACAGATTGGATGTTTCCAAAGTGTCTTTCCCAATTGCAAAAGTTCTTTTTAAAAGCCCACTACAGGAAGCATTAGAATCACACTCTTGGAAAAAAATGGTCCGGTTAACTTATTCTTTATGATGTCAATTGAGTGTGATTTTCTGACTGATAAGGTTTACGCACAAAACCATGGGCCAGTGAGGCTTTGCATAGAAAGGTGGCCGGACCATTTTTGGGGAAAGTGTGCTGGTAATGGTGGAGGAATGAGGCGCTACGGCCCCGACCAGTTCTAATAAGTCGATTGAGTTGGAACCATGCCTCACAAGGAAGATCCCAGCCTGTGGGTCTCAAGGATGAAGTTTGAATGAAGTCAAGGAATCTTGTTGAGGATGTTGACCAAACTTTCTTCCATCGATTCAAGGTCAATGGGGAAAGAGGATGAGTGGTGATGATGCGGAGGCAGCTGAGCTTCTATAATTTCTTGCGTTCTAGTATTTGCGGATCATAATATCAGAGACGATCAGATGGAGGGCACAATGGGCTGTCTTGATTAAGGCGGCCTTTCTGGGCAAGTTTTGCAGACATGAAATCACGGCGAATGGAGGAGCAATACCAGAAAGGACCGGAGAAGGTTGTCTGTTGGCGTGGGTTCATGGAACCAGACATTAGACGAAACATTCATTGTTTAAGACTGTGCCAAGTCAACTGACTTTGAGAGTTGTGGCTCCAGTTTGGAGCAGCACTAGTAGTACTCCGCTGTTGAGAAAGCTAGCGCGAGAGTAGAGCAGCCTGACTGTGGTTAGACTGGCTCCCCAGCCTACCAGCTAGCTTGTGAAGGAGATTAACACGTGACCGTGTCTTAGAAGCAACCCGCTTTGTATGATGAGAGAAGGTGAGGCTACGATCGAGAGTTACTCCAAGTCTAAAATCTTATACTGCAAAATATCTTCGGTGACAGTTTACATAAGTGCTGTGAAAGTGACATCAGTGTCCGTCGGACAGTTGGCGCGAATTGCGCTGCTGTGGTCTTCATGCACAGCATCTCTCCAATGCCAGCCTTGAAGCCGACGCCAGACTCAGTCCTGTCCACCTGTTGATGTCCTCGACCCTGTCATAGGTCGCCCTCTACGCGGATTGCCCTCTACTGTAGTGCCAAGCGTCCAGGCTATACCTCAGTGAATAGCGTGCTCAAAATAAAGTGACACTAAAAGCGAGAAAACGCCAAACCGGCAACTGTTAGCGCTGTATGCTGCACGTGTTGTCAAACATATGGCGCGTACAGCCGAAGGAATTCTTTTTTCTGACCATCAATGGTGATTACGAACGCCAAATCCTTCCATTTGGATACAATTATTGTACAATAGTAAGAATGCAGGGGGATTTTAGTGTGCGTTTATATTTAGAGCAGACGACATGCACTCAAACGTCATTTTAACCAAACACAAGAAAAATCTGACACATTTTCACCACTAGTTTATCCTTCCTTCCATATTCTTGATAGGGCCACGAGCCACCAAGTTTCTTTGATTGCCATGGGATTGTACATAATAAAAACGTGATTCCTTAGGCCTATTTGTAAAGAGGACAAAAACATCGTCTGTTTACCTCATCACAGCCGTTTTGAATCCGTCACTGATCAACCGACACCAAACTTTTGGTCTCGTTAAGTCAGAACCATAACACAACCTTATGGTTGCAAAGGCTTTTCGTCGTGCGTTGATAGACAAAGTTAATCCGACTACGTACGTGGACGCCACAGACGGAGCAGTGAACCGATTGCACCCCCCCCCCCCAAAAAAAACCCCACATCGCTTTTTGAACGTTCTGTTTTTTTTAAATAGAAAAATTCCTAAACTTCATGTCAGTGATAAAAATCGCCGTTATTGATGCAGAAACGTTCTGAATACCGGTCACTGGTAAAGCTGACTTAAATGGTCACGTTATCGCGTGACATACTAAATACATACCGCGTGACCATAGCCTATGTTGCTGTGTCGACCAGGTTTTTTTTCTTTATATATATGGCGCGACAACGGGTGAATGACCGAAAACCCGATATAGAAAGCGCCCGCTGGTTGGTCAAAATCTAAAGAAGAGGCGGTTGTCTTGCGTAATTAATCAGCGAATCTGCTGAAATATCTTACATAGACGAAATCAACACATGGTCCCCTGACATAGTCTGATTGGCGTGTTATTAGCATATTCATTAATACGACTCTACGTGTATCGCGTGGGTCTCGGTATCGACGAATGGAAACCCGCAAAAAAGGTGGACATTTAGTAATGACATTTGCAAGTTAAACTTGAATAAAATCTGGAACGCTGACTTAATCCAATGCTTTGCACGTTTTAAATTTGCATTCTCCAGACCAAAGAGACGGTTTAATAATATCACGTGGTTCGGGGCAAGATAGCACGGTAGCAACCCCAGCTCCGGCTCCGGCAAGGTGTATTAATTTTGTGCCATTCTCACCCATTATGAACAATGTATTGGTGCTGAGCGTCTCTTACGTAACTATGCAAGAGCTTGCCCCAAATCATGTGATTAGCAACAGTGTCTTTGGTCTTGAAAATTCAAAGTTAAAATGTGCCAAGCATTCTGAGCAAGTCAGTGTACCAGATGTTTTTTTTTTCAATTTAAACCCAAAATGTATAGGTCACTCGCAAATGGCTTATATATAAGTCATCGGAAAGAGGGGGTCGTATACACATTTTTACTGCACACATAGGATAAAGAAACCTTATTAATATTCGTGAGGCTTGAAAAGATTTGACAGATATTGCGAACACCATTTGTTACAGCTTTAAAAATGGACGTACCCAAGCCTATTTCTCCAATTTAATAAAAACAAAAAAATACTGAACATATCGAAGCGATTTTAGCACATAAAAAGTTGGATCATTATAAGGAACACTCCGAATGTGGCATAAAGATAATTTATACAGTCTTCAAAACGGGAGAAATTGATGTTGTTGGCCAAAGTATGTTAAAACACCTGTTCCGCAACATGAAAGATACCGACATTTCCCTGATGCAGGCCATAGGCCCGAAATTGCGAATGTCAGCGCGGCCAAATAACGATTTGCATGCCCTCAAGTTCTCCAGGTATAGCATGTTGTGGGCCACGAACTTGAAGGTTTGTAAAAAAGAAAAAAGAAAAAAAGGTGGATCAAACTGTACAAAAATTAAGAGGACTCCGAGCTAGTATTTCTGTGAAATTCAGATGAAATTAGGCCTCAATATTATTGGGTTTGTTTTTTTTGCAATGGAGCGTATAGGAAGAAGAGTGATGAGCTTCAGGACTACCTTTAGGGGAGATCATCTTTGGATTGAATTTTCTCCAAAAAGTCATTGTTTAAACCCAAAAAAATCGAACAGGAAATGAAAGATGATAAAACAAGCATCAAATTGATGTGTATCTCAAACACCTTGGAGAGTTGCGAGTATTTGTCATAATTTTTAGTAGTGGGCGTATAATTATCACTGAGGACTCATAATATATGGTCGTTTACTGGTCTGTAATTTACCTTATAATGCCTAAATAATCAATCATTCTTTGAATGTTTGTCAGTCCTTAGAATAGGATCGTCTAAATCGCAGCGAAATACAGGGTGTATAAAAAAGGAAACCCAGATGTAAATGTAAATTATGAAAAAGACACGAAGATCGTTGATGAGACCAAAAACAACAGGGGCCCATTACTTGCTGGGTACGTCCTGATAGGAAATCTCTGATCCAAGACAGTAGCTGACCTCTGACCCATAGTGATGAAGCTTCAGGAGGAGACGTTCATGAGGTACTCGTTCAAAAGGCCTTCGAGAAAATGTAAAAGGATTGCATCTATCTGGCTCAGGGGGCGGATCCAGACTGCCATTTGCCGGGGGGGGGGGGCTAGAATTGTAATGAAGGGTGCAGGACCTGCAAGCGCGGAGCAGTACGGCGTGGGGTTCCGGGGCGCGCGTAAGGGCCCCGGAAAAAAACATGAATTTTAGATGCTCTGTGGTGCAATCTGAGGCGGTTCCTGGCCACTTTCCACCGTTTAGAAAACGTTTAAACATCGAAAATTCAATTTAAATTTGTTATTTTTTTTGTGCCTATAAAGTTTGTTATGTACTCAAAGTTGAGAACCATGTTCCATCTCCGTATTTTTTCACAAATGTTAGTTTGGAAAGGGATTTTAGGCCACTGGTAGTCCGACCCTCAGCCATTCGCTGCTGAAGGTACAAAAAAGGTGGGGGGCACCGCTAGGGTGAAATTATTGCGTAGAG